GTGACTATGAATTGACCATAAGGCACGAGTGGACGATGCATTCGAGTTCCTGCTGATCTTGTGTAATCTTGACACTAATTGGCTTCTGGGCTGGAGGTAGGGGTTGAGTGGGGTATATTTCTGGGTGTGCATCGTCTCCAACTGCTGCTAGATTCTTCTGATATGGAGTCACATTTCTGTGAATCACAGCCTGAATATGTAACTGAATCTTCTCAATTGGTTGCTCAAACACACTGACAGAAGTCTTCGGGATGGAAACAGATTGGATACGTTTCTTAGTCTCGGGCGGCGACTCCTTCGATAATGTTGGTGTGTATCTCATTGGCCTTATTAATGGCCTGCCTCTTTCTAGCCTTCTTAAAAATATCAGATAGCTTTTCACTTACATCCGTGGAAAGTACACTTAGCACATCTATCTCAGAAAAAGGATAACAAATTTGCAAATTTGCACTTTTAGCAGAATGAGTGCGAACGTCCAGGACTTTTATATTTGACATGTGCACTCCGTTGGCAGCTGGCAACAATGGCGTGGGAGATGTCATGTCTGATAGCTGTTAACCTCTGACTACTTGACTAGATTCTAGAACAAATCAGCCGTGCATGAAATCCCTTGCCTTTCGAAATATACAGAACACGGTTCACACCCAGGGAAATGGTGTCCTATTCCTTCTGTGCCGATAGGACACAGATCGGGACACATTGCTACACCACATAATATACGCGCGTGACACCACTGAAATCGTCGTTTGGCTCGGATGACGGCGCGTGGCGTGGCGTGGCGTGGCGTGGCGTGGCGTGGCGTGGCGTGGCTCTGGACAGTCTGGTCCTACATTCGACATTCGGTATTGCTGATGCTGTGGTTGTTGCAGTGGTCATCCGTTGGATCACCCGTATCTAATGATACACGGATGTGGAAGCCACAAAGAGCCTTCCGGATCTGGAGGGTTCACCCATGTTGTTAATATCGAGTCGCACAGCTTTCTGATGGTGCTTGGGAACACACTTCACGCCTTTCAGTGAGTGAGTGAGTATGGTGTTACGCCACTTTTAGCAATATTCCAGCAATATCAACAAGAAACAAGAGAAATGGGTTCACATACCGTGAGTGAGTGAGTGAGTGAGTGAGTGAGTTAAAGTTTATAGTCACAGCGGCAGTATTTCAACCACATCGGGACTTAAGATAGTTATAAATTCATGACAAATGCGCAAATTCTAAAAACCTGTCGACGAAGGACAGTAAAACCATCTAGTATATCACAGTAATAGGAAATACGACAAGCGTATATCTCTAAAATAGGATTTCAAATTAGGACAATACAATATAAAATAAGGCTGAGAATCGCCAACAACTGAAGGTAGATCACCACTCTAGGGGCCAAGGGGACTTGCAGTACTTTGGCTACCTGCATGGACCCTAGCTTGACTTGTACCATTCCTTCAGCCACTGGCGATTGTACTGAGATTTAGCCATAATAAAACAACAAATATTCTACGATTAAAAAGGTGTGTAGAACTAAATTGACTTGGGAAGTTTTAGGACTTACGTACCCTCTCAGGAGGACAATAATTTTATCACACACCGTGACCATGTGGGGAATCGAACCCGGGTCTTCAGCGGACGCTTCATCCACTTGCCTACCCCACCGCCCCTCACCCCTTCGATATGATCGACCTTGGTTACACTGTATCCAAGCGGCCGATGACGTTGTTCCTCTGTGCTTTGTCTGACGGTTCTGCAAGTGTCATGCAGTTGAAATCCCTGCACTGTTAGGTTAGGCACTGCATGTGCAAAAGACGCACATAGTTTGATCATACGGTTTGCATGTAACTGCATTTAGGCCAATTTGTATATTTGTAATGATAATTTTCAGGTCTGCAATTTTGAGAAAGTGACGATTGGAAGATGCTGGAGTCCCCACCTAACATAAGGCTCACAAATTCATTGAATATTGGAAGGATCTCATTTGATACTGTTACGCACCTCTGACTGGTCTGTGCCATATGCGACTAGTGACCATGGACGTGTTAATTCTAACATACAAGAGCGCATGACGTTTCACGATGATCCGTTACTCTGCTCGTGTGAAGAAATTTGAGTCAAACGTAGCAGGGATTTTTTTAACGTTCATTGAAGCATGTGTTTATAATCGTTATCGAATAGCAACGACAGTACTACAGTTAACTTTACTTGACATAGCAATTGCAAGGTGTAGATTTGCAGAGAGAGAACATGATATAAGTAACCTGTATGCATGATGCGGGCTCTCCTGTTGCAACACAGGTGCAAACGTGAACATTAACCAAACGGTTATTAGTCATCTCAGTGGAGGAAATATGTGGCTATAGGTAAAGGATTGTAAAGATAACCTGAAGACCAATGACCGTGATGACCGAGTCCCAATTTATCTGACAAGACGAAGTCCCATTACCCATACCGAGGGCCTGGGCCGGCAATGATGAGTTGGAATCCGTCTCTCCACCAGTACCATCAGAAGGAGGCTGCATTCTGCTTGGTTAAGGAATGTTAACTGATCATGCGTCGCTTCCTCATAGTTTGGCAGAGGTAGTAACATTTGGCTGGGTGCTGGCTACGTGAAATCCGTAACTTGTGGCCATGAATCATTATTTGAAAACTGCTTGACCATCAGATTGGCTTGCGTAGTCTTGGTGATCGGCATTGGAGATATTTACGTTTTTGTGTGTTACTCTTGAATTGCAAAGAAATTCTTACCCAATTTACATTTCTCTTTTGTTTTGGTTTCAATGAGAGTAAAATGTGTTACACTTACTATTTCAATATGCGGAATTAGGCTTTCAAATCGTATACAACACCATGTAGTGTTTACGTAATGTGTATAATTCATACAAAGTGATGTAAGTTGTGCTTGATGGCATAGTTTGACTGACTGATCACCTACTTTTTGACGTAATATATTAATGCCCAAAAAATATACTAGACAAAAATAGTTAGGGATATATGCGAATTTTGAATTATGATTAATGATCTATTTATTCATTGACACACTGATAAAATATAAATCATAAAAATACCAATATCCCTAACTTATTGTGTCCAGTATATGTAATGTTTAGACGCCCTTTGTCAGGTTGCCAATACTTTATTGAACTGTTAAATTTAAGAATGACATGATGTGATAGAGAGGTGATAGTGGGTGTCTGTTTGGCGATGATAAATGCCGTATATTAGAACTAAACAATGCCCGCAAGACAACAATGTCCCTGCAGTTTCTGACAACTTCTTGTTCTGAAATAGGCTCTCAAAATAATATGAGAGGTTTACAGTAATCATGTCGTCACTGATGCGGGTAAGTATAAATGAGACAACAATGTTAAAGTAGACTCCTACCAGTCCTATCTAAACATTGATTGTTAGAGTGGCTCCAAACTGATGTGGTTGTAATAATTTCGTACATGATGATCACTGTTTATTGGTTGCCTGAACAATAATGGAACATCTCTATGACATTTCAGATAGTGCAGTTTGACATTTAAAATCCTCAAAATAAAATAGTACTATTTACGTTTTGAAAATCATACTGTAGCGAATTGGACTAAATTGGTTTGAAACAGTACGGAGAGGTAATGTGATCAGATCATGAAATGTGGTGTAAATATTTTCATAACATAACTTGTATCCTTTTTAATAGCTGAAAAGAATTTAGAAGTCAAAATACTGATTGATTTTTAGCAAACAATCAAGATTGATTCTTTAGCTTTAAATATGAACACCTGTCATCAGTCTTCTATATCTGAGTCCATACACTGTCATCCTCAACCTTCTGTCAGGGTAGACTCAATAATACAATTTGATAATGTTTTCCAGAACACGTGGTGTCATTTCTTATTTTCAGTGATACGTTATAAAACTACACAGTTTTTTAATTTTATGCCCAGTTAACAACCGAGACTAAGTATACCCTGTCTTTGACGTATATATGTAAATGGTTAAATGGAAAGTCACCTTATTTTCACACTTTCAGTTTTGAAAGAGGAACGTGTTATTATTTTACATGATATTGTATCGTTAAACTATATAGTGTGACCTCCAAGTTCAGAAAACAGTATTATTTTGTTTTATAATAAGCAATTCTAAGCCTTAGATTCAGTCGAAATTCCATCTGGGAGTTTCTTAATATATAAGGTTAATTGTAGCTCTAAACATAAGTTACTCTTGAAATGTTTATTATTCTTCTCTAAAACTCTAAACTACGTGTGGACGCTAGGTAACATGCACATGTGGTGTTTATGACATGGTACACTTTTGGTGAAACTCTCACAGTCAGATAAATGTGTATCTTAGCTAGACAAGACAGCTAGATTATTTGATGCCAGATTTGTGACCCAGTATTAATACTACGCACATTTTAAAACGGCATGATGGTAAGAAAAGAGGGTGCAGTAGGGCAACTATCCATGTGCATAATCGTGTTGCTGCAGTGGCAATACTGCATCTGTAACTATGATATGATCACGGACGAACAGTACACATATCGTCATTAGTTGTTTGGAATGCTTTGGCGTTCAATGTTTACAATAATACTCGAGGACGAAAGGTGCGTTTACGTATATATATTTTCACGTTTTTAAGTGAACGTCAATCTACTTTATTTCTCTAATAACAGCTGAATGAACTTCACCATATATACTTGTCTATCGTATCTTATTCTAATCCGTCCGTTAAAATAACAAGAGCATTGACAGTCAAATCCAAACTGGAGGACAATTAGATATTCGTATCATTTGAAAAATACATTAGACGACTTCAAAAACACACGTGTTTACTATGTTTTACTGTTACCTCAATAAGCGTTGTATGTGTCAGATATTCTTTGTATCATAGAACAAGTGGCACCGCGGCACTGAACATTCCTCATCTGGATCTACTATATTAGATAAATTACAGACGACATCAGACGTCGGGCATTCTCTCGGTGCCTGCAGCTAAGATATAAGAAAAAGAACTCCATTAAGATACTTACTTTCCGTACAGAATGATATCGTTGATGGCTTGTACATCCCATTCTTACAGAGGCATCTCATCTGCACACAGTTGATGTTCTGGTCTGAGGTGTCGCACTGGGTCCGGTCAGTACAAGTTCCACCAAAGACTTGCTCTGAAAGTGACATGTGATATTAATACAGCAGTGTGTGAAAAACAGTGAGTGAATGAGTTCGGTTCTACGCCGCTTTAAGAAATAATCCAGCAATATGACGGTGGGGAACACCAGAAATGGGTTTCACACATTGTACCCATGTAGGGAATCGAACCCGTGTCTTCGGCGTGGCGAACGAACGCTTTTACAACTAGACTACCCTACCGCCCCTCTCTCTCAGGAACCTTCGAACGATATTATTAGACGTGTCAAAATGATCTTTGGTAATGGATAGGAGTATAGTTGAAAGTGCCCTACACAAATCTAAATCTAACGATTTATAAGCTATACTGAAGTCGTCAGTGTCAAAGCCCGGTTCAAACAACTTTTGAGTGGCGTGACATTCATAAGTAAACATGCTTTAGTTGAGACATAACCCTTAGACAACCATAGTGAGATGCCATAATGCTTTATTGTAAGTTCAGTGACATTTCAGAGCCAATGACTTTACATTAGATATTGCATGTTGGGTTGGAATTAATAATATCAAAATCAATGTTCTAGATCTTTGTGTTTCGAAACTATGCATGGTTATGCAAATAGGAGGTGGGACCTCTGTTTGACCAGCCGCATGTTATATATACTTTTAGTACTTTTGTAGGCAGAGGGAAGGTCAATGCATGCAAACTTCTTGTCAACAGCAAGGCATATCAAGAGGCTTCCCAACAACTTGTGAATGAATGGACTGTGCCACCAGGTTTGATTGACTCACTTCAAGCATTCAGATGCCTCCTGTATGCCTTATGTTCTTAAATAAGGTATGTCCATCAATTACGCTACCACGTATATGAAGTGAGAAAAGGGGCAATTGAATCAGGAGAACTGACACCCTGCTTTGATTGTCTATCCAAGCACATGCTGAGAGCAACCTGTCAAGCTGCAAAATGGTACAACTGTCTGGAAGCTAAATATCCAACTCAACGGGCAACAGATGGTCATGGATGGGTGGAAGAAAATTGTCACATAGACATATGCTGGATGATAGGACCTCTTGCTCCAGATGCTGTTTTTGTAAGTGCACAACAGTCTGTAAACTGCCAAGTTGTCAATACATTACCATTGACTGAAATGCACTGTGGCATGTCGGAACCAGATTTGTGACAACATGGTATGCGAGGACTATGACATGCCGAAGAGTGACACTGATGATGCAGCTGATGTTTATGATGCGGAATAGTGACTATCACTAACCAATTCAAAGAACTTGAAGGTGCTGTCACTCTTTGAAATTAAAGAGCTGTCTTCAGAATAAATGAAATGATGAGTTTTCGAAAAAGTTCTTTGAACTTACAATTTTGACTCTTACAAAATCAGGGAAAAGAATGATTTAAAGGTATTAAATAACACAACTTGATATTAATTAAATCTTTTTAATCATGTTAGCACTATTTTACTTCCCTTTTTTCTATTCCAACCTATTTGTTGACCTTTACTCAAAGGATTAAAGCTTGGAATTGACATGTTTTTAACATTTTGGGTTTTTTTGGAGGCCATCTTGGAATAAGCCTCGGTCTGAGTTTGAGCTACCAAACCGACATGGCCATTATACCTTTTTGATATGTAGAGACCATAACAACTTTAAAAAACATGAAAGTGTTTCGTCCCTCTAGGTGGTACCGAACATTTTTCTGGCTCATGGCCCATATGTTTTGTGTGTTTGTTTAGATTTAAGGACGGTAAAGGACGAGGTGTAGCCCGGAGCTTAAGACGTTCGCACGTCACGCCGAATACCTGGGATCGATTTCTTACATGGGTACAATCTGTGATACCCTTTTTGATGGAAAATAAGGTGTTGCCGCCAACATGATAAAGTTAACTGTGCCTCCAACAAACCCAAGGGGCTGACTTATACCATACGCGTTACCTCCTAAGACACAAAAACTGTTGTTTTCATTGTCTTCTGTTGGTCATGGCAAGCAATTAACCAAGAATTGATCTTGCAAGACTTAAATGACTCTTTTGGAACATATTAATCACAAAAACTGAATATAATAAATATGTAGCTTTAAACAAAGCTAACATATGACCTATTAATTGGCAGGTTGCGAATGCGATAAGTGACTATTTGTCTTGGTGGCTAAAACTGACAGCCGTACGACTGGAATGCATAAAATTTAGGTACTTGTTGTAAATGTCCCCAGGTCCGAGGTAATCAGCTGACTCCTGCCGTGCTGTGTGATGGTAAGTCCAACTGTGACAGTGTATGTTGTTCCTGCAGACAGAGACGGGATGTTGTAGCTCTTCTGGGTTGTAGGAGCAGATCCTGAAGATCCAGGAGACCACGTTACTGAAGAGTTGGATGTGTACCCTCCAGTGACATCGGTATTGGTCCAGCTGATGTCAATATTACCTGTTCCTATAGTTGGTGTACCTGTGATGACTGATTTTAGTGGGCTAGCTGAAAATATACATTATTACACTGATAAGGGAAGCCAACAACTAACGTCTTCGTTAATTATCAGGAAAAGGATTATCGGTTATAAAGGATTATAGATGTGTGCCTTCGAGTATGTTTTTCGTACATAAATGTGGTTGGGTTGGTGGGTTATTTGAATATATACACGTTCAAATGGATGTCTTGGTAAAGCGAATGACTCTTGATATTACATATTCTTGTGGTGATGTTTTATGAATTAACAAATCTTCACCCGTCAAACTATCACAAATTGGAAATTCGCATTTGCTTTACTTGTGTGATTGTCATTCGTAAACTGCGCTCTCGTGAAAGGAGCTGATTGTGAACAGGTGTGATTAAGAAGACATTCACGTAGATGCGATTTTCTCCTGTAGATATTTACAGCGGTCCGACGGTGTCATTGTTTGTTCAGTAGCCTACAAGCAGTACCTAATTCTTCAAACATTGTTAAATCCAACTGAGGTACCATGCAGGTAGTAGAATTACCGTATGTCCCCATAGTCCCTACTGTTGTGGCTGGTCATATATGTGTACAGTTACACGCTAGTTTTAAGATGATTCTGTGAGAATTTAGTTGTTTTACTGCTCTTTGTTGGCAGCTTTTATACAATCTAAATGTATTAAGTGAATATCTATACCCACTCACTCACTTGACAATGACATGCTGTGTCCCTTACAACAGAAATAAATCTTCATTGAGAAACAACAATGTCAATGTGGCGCCCCTACATGTGTATGAAAGTCCACAAGTTGTGTTGGCGATGCGGTTAGAACCAGAGGTGGGAGTGTCAAGATGTGAGCTGTTATGTCATACACGCACAAAGCCAACATGGTGGACGTGCAGGATAATTTGACAACATTTATGACTGAAATGAAAGGCTCGAACGTCACCTGCTTCCCTATTTCCGGAACCTGAAGAAAGAATTTTAAACAGGAGAACGCTTGATTGCATGTGTCAGTGTGGACATGATACAGAATCACATAACTGTGTTCAGCTTTAAGGTGCTATCGCTACGGGAAGACTTGATTTCATACATATTTGCTTCGGTTCAGGAATATCATTTCAAGTGTAAACGAGGAATGTTGTCATTTTTACAAATGCGTTTCTTTAGTTTTTGATGGAGTATATATAACCGGAATTACACATCGATAATCTGTTTCCATATTTCCAAATCCTGTTTATCAACATTGGTCTCAGAATACCATGTTTGAATCACTGCGGGAAATACCAGCTGTCGGCTTTACACGTGACAATACACCACCGACTTCGGGGAACAAACCCTCAGCGACTGGCCTGACGAGTGAATGTTTTAACCTGAAGACTACCAATATGCCCCTTCCCCAATGAATACTTCACCATTTGGCAACAAGTTATATGAATTTACAACAGTGTCAAGGAAGAGCAAATACTGATCAACAAATATCGTGAATGATAACGTCCATTGATTTATCAAACACACATATTTGCCTATCAATACTAATGGTACGTTGCATGTGAAGTATCGAGGATTACCTTTTATAAAAAACAAAAACAAAACCAAATCAAACCCCAAACAAAAAAAAACAGAAAAAAATTCATTTTGTGTTTTTCCATCACAACTGTATATATACATATTTTAAGAAGTTTAAATATTCTGTCACAATAAAACCTTAACGTAATAAGGAATAGAAAAGCGACAAAACCGACGTTCTTGTCACATGTCTCGACGCTGAAAGTTGTTGAGGAAATCCGCACGCTCAAAAATATAAATCTGTATAAACGCCTAGGAATTTACGAAAACTAGTGAAATGTGAGTGTACTTTCATAAGTTTCATTGACGCAGAAATTCAATTTTACGGAACAGCAAAAATTATCTAACTAGTAAATTAAATATCTCACTTTCATCTATTTCATTCCTCCATTTCCAACTTTCCCACAACCAATACTATCAATGATTTTTCGGCTGGTTGTATACCCAAGATCTAAATGGCAAGAGGGAAATGTGTTTGTTTTAGCAAAGAACTGACTTGATTCATTTATGTTTCATTTAACCGACTCAGTACTTAAAGGTAGGGGATTAAGCAACCATTTGAAGGCTAGAAGCGAACTATTTAATACTCACTTTCAGTGCAAGATGTTGGACTTGTATTTGGCCTATACCATCCATCCTTACAGAGGCACTTCTTGTCTGGTCCAGCCTGTATACACACTATGTTGGAGTCTGAGGTTGTGTCACACTGGGATGTCTCAGTACATACATCGCCGAAGACTTGATCTGAAATATACAATTACACACAGCACATAAATATGAATTGTCAGCAAAATCCCTGACACAAATAATAGACAACATAAAACTACAAATTCAAATTATAATAAACCAGAATTCTATTTTACATGCGACATAACCTCGCGATAATTCTAATATTTGAACATTATTTACTCTTGGCAACTTTTTCGTTTTGTAATAGTAGTGCTTGTTGAGTAATCAACAGTCCAATTATATATATAATATTAATCAAATGGCTATTTTTTACTCTTGGCAACTTTTTCGTTTTGTAATAGTACAGCTTGTTGAGTAATCAACAGTCCAATTATATATACGAGACATGTTGTTTTCAGTTTTAGAGAATCAGTGTACGGTATAAACAATGGGGAGATAGGTACAATGTAGGTAGGTACAAGTAGGCAAACACAAACAAACACACACACACACACACACGCGCGCACACACACGCACACACACACTTGCTCTTTTAAGATGGAAGACTGGTTCAGGAAGAAGGTTGGTGTAGGATTCAAACGTTAAGGTATTTGGATGGGATTAAAAGGTAGGCAGGTACAGAAGATCAAAGGGAATAGGAATGCAGGTATGATTTGTTTGCAAGTTCATTCCTGTACCCTTTCTTGAAAACATGTACATGTATAACGATGTCGAGATGTCAGCTCACTTGAATGCGAATAGCAACACTCTGTCATGATAAGTGTTGTTGTGCTCCTACTTGGATATAGACTATATTTAATAAATGAAGACTGTAGGAACACTGCAAGTTGAATTTTAAGCTTCGCATCTTTTCACACAAACTTACTATATATGCCCGGACTTTCTCCCTTCTGTGCGATGTAATCAGCTATTAGTTATGATTCCTTTGGCACAAGTAAGTCGACGTCTATTTAAACCAGTTGTAATTTAACATGCTCGATGGCATTTTATACCTGACAAAGGCTAAAAGCTAATGCTATCGACATCTATAAAAAAACCTAATATGCTAAAGTCAGAGTGAGTGACAATATCGTGACCATGTGTTTATGAATCACCATTAAATGGTGATGATAACAATGTTCGCGAAACGGTGACATTTGTCACACGCACACGCCAATGCCAGACAAGTGTTCATCCTAAATGTACACAGGAACATTTGTACAGGTCAAGGCAACGAATTGCACCAGATATAGCTTATGTTACCGATGTGGCAAATTTGACAATGTTCTCTACATGTCAATCATAAAGTTTTACTGGAGCCTTGAATGTGGTAACCTTGACCAAATAACTACGGATTAGTGTTTGTTGTAGTCGTGTGTCAGCAGATTCAGTTATACCGGATACATTAAAATTGCATTGCTGGTATTACACAGAGTAAGATAATCACAGATCAGTTCCGAACTCCACTTATATCGGATATAGTGCCTGGCGCTATCGCTGTACAAGCAAGATGGTAAGCAAGGTTGTCAGAGACGGGAAATTCGCGGGAACTGGAAGACAAATATTATCAAATTTGAGGAGGCTAAACATTAAGGTCTGAAACATTACTCTGAACGCAAGTGTCGCTGGCTGCGTCATAGTAGTAAGTGTCATCGCATGCACAGATGCAGGATCCATTACACACTGCATTTGTGGTATAACACTGTGTTATGTTATCACAGTCAGCTCCGTATTCCACTTCTGAAATTGAACATGTGTATACAATGCAATATGCATCATGTTTTGTATTTGTCATGAATATCATCACATCTTGGTGTACTTAATGGTACTTTTAAAAGATAAACCTGAAAATGTAGTATATTTTGTAAATAGAGTCTTCCGAGACAAAAGTCTGAAAAGCGAAACAAAAACAACAACACAAACATATTCCCCATAAACAAAATAAATATAGAATACTCTAAATCGGTGAGCACATGTAGGTTAATGTATACTGTTTCTGGAATGGAACAAAAACTATGGGTTAGTTGTTGTTTTAAGCTGACATTTGTAAGCATTGAAAATATACAGTATCTATCTATAACTGACATAACATCTGGCGTGAAATCTACCTGGATGGTGCTCTTACTACATACCAAAGAGTTACAACTCACAATTAACAGCATGAGCAATAGTTCATAAATACAGAAAGAAAAAAGAAACGTCGTAATATTGGAAATTACATTTAAACATCAATGGAGTATTTGAACCTTTTTTACAAAAAATACACACTGGAAGTCAAGTTTGAGAAAACATGAATCGTGGTCGTATAGTCTGTATTGGCCAATAAAATATTGTTCGAGATTGAGGTTAGAAATGTTTTTGCTTGTGAAAAGTGCAGAGTTCGCACAAACGCAACATTGAAATCTAGATGCACGTGCATTATGCATGCATTCAGGCAGGCATAAATTGCTGGCTTGAAGGGCAATCGTTCATTTGTTTTCTGAACGACGTTTCTTTTGTCTTTCAGTATACATCTATTTACTGCAGAGACATTCAGTGAGCAATTCAAGCATACTTTGGCTATTCACTAGTCCCTAATTCACCAGAACCTTCACTGTAACATCGTACTCTTCGCACAAACAAGGTGGTAAGCAAGGTGACCAGAGACGGGCAATGCAATGGAACTGGAATTTGTCTTCAAATCTAGTTAAAGGAGGCTAAACACTAAGATTACAAAACATACTTTGAGTGCAGGTGTCACTAGCTGCGTCGTAGTAGTGAGTGTCATCACATATACATGTGCCGGATCCACTGCAAATTGCGTTGGTGGTAATACACTGTGTCATAGTACCACAGATAGTTCCATAAGCCACTTCTGAAATTGAACATGTTTCTACAATACAATATACTTCATGTTTTCCATTTGTCATGAATATTATGCCAGACTGGTGTACTTCACAGCATATATTCCCTTCTTTTTTGCTGCTCACACTGTGGCTGACATGTTGTCGAGATTACTTTTACTTGCTACAGAGCTCTAAATGGCTAGTTATTACTGTTAGAAGATAAACTGGGAAATGCAATATATTCTGTAAATAGAGTTTCCCAAAACAAATGTCTGAAATACGAAACTCACACAGTGAGTTAATAGGCTTTAGATTCATTCTAAATATTTAGTCATATTACTCATAAAAGAGAAACTGGAAAATGTAGTATATTCCGAAAATAGAGTTTTCCAAAACAAATGTCTGAAATGTGATACAGAAAATCCAAACATAAATCTTGAAAACAGAATGTAAAGTAAATACTCCAATATGGTGATTAGATATACAGTTTCTACAATTGAACGAAAAACATGGGTTAGTAGGTGCTTTAAGCTAACATTTGCATGCACTGACTAGTATCTATGGTATCTATGGTAACTGACATAACATCTAGAGTGTTTTCTTCCTGGATGATGCTCTTGCTACATACCAAAGAATTACAACTCACTATTAACAGCAAAAACAATAGTTCATATACATCTAGTTACAGCAGAGATATTCAGTGTGCAAGTAAAGCATACTTTGGTTATTCACTAGTCTCTAATTCACCAAAACCTCCATCACAAACAAATTCAAACAAATGGTATCAAGAGGGATGGAGTGGTGTAACAACAGAATTGACGCTTTACATATTGGTTGTGGCCACTGTTGGCGTTGATACAATTGAAGATGGGGTGGTTTTGATGATGGAAAATAGCATTGAGAATGCACTAGTGATACCGACTCTTTCTGATCCTGGTGTAGGCGTTGTAACTTTTCATTCCAGATATATATTGTGGGGGGAGAGACCTGCAGAAGCTGGCAAAGGCAGTACAACAATTTTACACAAGACAGTTAATCAATACACTTAAGAATCGCTTCTCTTCGCTGCAGTGGATGTGAATCAAATCAAGGGATTCTGCCGTACGAAGAACTGAATGGACATTGACAATGAAAGGTAGAAGTAATTCTACGCATTCTGCCCCTAATTTCCATCTGCATACCGTAGTGTTATCATCAAATATGCGTGCTTGATTATACATTTTTACGTGAAAAACCCCCACACCGCCAGTTAGGTCGCTTGAAGAACATTTCAATTACAGATTAAATACCCTCTACTGAAGGGTATATTTAAATCGTCGTACAGGCAAATCTAATAATAGTACATTTATATGCATTATCTATGTGGAATGCAAAGAGGAAAGGGTGCATGGAGCTACGGTGATAGAAGAAATACTCTTCGTACAAACAAGGTGGTAAGTAAGGTGACCAGGGACGGCAAATTCACTGGAACTGGAAGGCAGATGCTTTCAAATCTAGTTTGAGGAGGCTACACGCGAAGGTCTGAAACATTACTGACTTTCTGGTATTACACTGTGTAATATTGTCACAGTTAGCGCCGTAAACCACTTCTGAAATTGAACATGTGTATTCAATACTATATAAATAATGGTTAGCATTCTCATGAATATGTTAACAGTACGTGTCTCCTGACCTCCTTTTGTTGCTTACACTATGGCTGACATGTTGCCGAGGTGACCTTAACTTTCAAGTCACAGAGAGAACTAATAGGCTTTAAATTAATTCTAAAGAATAAGTCATTACTTTCAAAAGGTAAACTGGAAAATGTAGTATATTTTGTAATTGAGTTTTCCGAGACAATAGTCTGAAATGGAAAACCCAAGCATAGATAAAAAAAAATCCAAATACACAAGGATTCTTCAAATGGGTGATTTAGTAAATATATACAGTTCCTAGCATGGAACGAAAGAAGTCGGTTAGTTGTTGTTTTAAGCTAACTAACATCTTTTGAAGGTATTGAATAACTAGAAACTATGGTGGCTGACATAACACCTGCCGTGAAACCTTCCTGGATGGTGCTCGTACTACATACCAAAGAATTACAACTCATTATTAACAGCATATGTAATAGTTACATCTAGTTACAGCAGAAAAATTCAGTGTGCAATTCAAGTATAGTTTGGTAATTCCTTAGTCCCTAATTCATCCAAACCTTCATCGTAACATATACATTGCGAAATACCCACACATGTAACAACAAAATTAACGTTG